TAGGGAGAAGTCAAGGTACTGACCTTTCTGAATGCAGCTGATAAAATGTGTAGAGGTAAATTGTCATTAATTCTAGCATAATAATTCAGATTTCACCTTTATCCTAATGAAAACACTTTATCAACATAATTAGGTTAGGTTAGGTTACTTTATTTATACCCGTAGGTAAATTTGTCTTGCAGTCAGATCAAATGACATCCTTGACACATTCACAAAATACAAGAATAAAATACAACACATAACATAAACCTGGCGCCTACACCGAACGTAATAAAAGTACTCAGGGCTCCACCAATCAAGACATAAAAGAAAGAAAACATCCGAAGAAAACCTAAAATTACTTACAATATATTACTACAGCCTATTTAACTCTATAACAGCAGCAGGGATATTCTACACATAATGTGTGACTCCGAGGAACAAAATAATCTACACTACTGCTTAGACAAACATAATAATGAAGATAGATATCTGCTAGTTATCCAAATAAGATTGCACTGTAGTACAGATGCAGCCATCTTAAGTTGCTGGCTGGATCGCGATAGAACCATGCCCGATCCGTGACAGGTCCATGCACGACCCCTGCTCTTACTGTGCATCCCCTGCGATGACACTGTGATCGCAGTGCTGCCTTGTTAACACCCCTAAGCACTGTGTGTGCAAGCCGTGTGTTGTACGTATATATCCGCCAGGTGGAGCAGTGTTTGTTGTAGTTTACTGCAGAGGCCATCTGATAATTTGATCCTTCTGTTCATATCCAGAACTGCTGGTAGATGACTACGGCAGGACCGCTGGGCCGAGCTACACCCGCTGGGGGTGTCCTGCCTCTTGTTTGTACATTGTCAGAGCATCAAAACCAATCCTGCCTCCAGAGACATACAATATGTGGTGGAAAAACATGAGTGGCAACATTAGTGTTTACTGTAAGTGGTAACGTTCATTTGCACTGCAAATGATATTTTTAATTCCTCATTGAAACGTTTTCTCAGCACATTTTTGTTAGCTTCCTAGTCCCATTTGGATGGATACATGTTGCAGAAACAGTCGGTAAATGGCTGTGCATTGCACTTTAACAGAGAAGGGTAAACAAACCAGACTCACATAACATTATGCAAAACCAGCCACATCGTCATGACAGCCTGTTCTCTAGTAAAAGTAGACCACGATTTTTGAAAACACTAAATTACAATAAATTATAAATCTCACCTTTATGTGGCTTTTGTTGCTCTTTTCTCCTAGTTCTGCAATTTGCTAAACAGTGCCGAACTTAATGTACGTGAATGCATCAGGGCACATTTCTGCTTGGCAAACCAAAATGAGAAGATGATAAACTAATCGGGCTGGGGCTGCCTTTTATTGAAATGCACACTGGCTGACAAAAAACTAAATATAATCAAATAAAAACAAAGGCTCGACTAGAAGAGTCTCATTCAACTGATCAGTATCTCGACTGTTTGACTATTTGGAGGCAGCCTCAGCTGTTTGCGTGTAGCAAGCATTAGAGGAGGTTTAATGATTTCATATTTGGCATACAGAATGACAGGCTGACTTTCATATTAACTCCAAATCACTGCACTGGAGCTGCTGTTGAGTGCAGTGTTGTCTCTCCCGAGCTGTTTTTCTCTGCCCTGGTTATTCAGTCTTTGCTCTGTTTTAGTCATATGCAAAAGGCCATTCTGGGTCTCTGGTTTCTGCAGTGATCAAGTTGTGGCATTGTCTGACATCCCCTTCCTTTGTGCTTAAGTTGCGCTTTCATCTTCTGGTATGTATGAGAGTTTGTGTGTTGTTTCAATTCCTTATTGTTGTAGCTTTGGCCTGCTGATTTTTATGCCTTTGTTCATTTACTCAGGCATTAAGATTTCATAGACAATGTGCTACAAGGGGCGTCCTTCTCCCATGTTGGCTCTTTACCCCAGGAAGGTTGCTGCTTTGGCTCTAATTTTGGGGCTTTAGTCTTTTGGTTGGGTTTCTTGTTTTGAGTTATAGTTGATCGGTGAGTACGTTTGAGACAGCATGCGCACTACGCCATAGGTTTTTTTTTTTTTTAGCTTTGTTACTTGCATTGGTGAAATTTTCCTGGGAGTGAAATTCCCCTGGATGGCGTTGTTGGACCCTGACAATAAGTTGGTGTAGGCTTAGAGACTGCTATACCTACCCGCTGTCCAGCACTGCCACACTTACCTAGTTTATATTTTGACAGGTAGTCAATATGTTTGCGTGCTACACTCTTTTATCTAAAAAGCAACACTGACAACAGTGTTGGTGCCACTTAACTAATAATAGAAATAACAGCATGGCACATTTTCAGTAGTTAGTGATGCTTAATTCAAGCTTCACACAACCTTCCAGGTAATAAACATTATACTGCATCAGCAAAAAGTCAGTCGAACAACATTTCTCACTATTTCAAGTTTTGTGTTCATTATTAAACAATACTTTGCTGGAGTGTAAATATTGCTTCATACTGTCTACTCAATTGTTGCTCCCAGCCACAGGCCCTTTGACTGCCAGCCAAATCCCAGACCATTACCAGCCTACTTCAGCCACCCTCCTTCTTCTGCTGCCTGATAAGGCACGTCTAGATTCCACAGTGAACACAGTTATTCAAATGCAATTCATTTATGCGGATGGTGTCACCATTATTTGGTGCTTTACTCGCATAAACACATTCAAACCAATTGTTTGCCTAAAGATTGCATAAAGTACTGCATTGGCAGTGCAGAGTCAGGTTTTTTGCTAAGGATATAGTTTTTACAGTATGCTTTCCACACTTAGAGTAGTTGCTGGAACCTGACTAGATGGTTTAAAGCATGACCAACACTGGGCCTCCAAAATGTCCCTTGTTGGCTCACAGGTCAGCTGTTAGTGAGTGTGTAATGACTGGGAGGTCAACTGTTGGAAAGGGATACACACACACTCACACACACACACACACACACACACAGCTGGAGTTGACATGCTTGAATCTAGTCACCCGGAGGGAATTTGCCTTGACAATCAAAAGACATTAACCAATTAGCACTGATCAATAGTCCCAGCCACACAGGGATAAACCAGACTAGAATGTGTGCCTCTAGGCCAGTCTGTGGGCTGGGAATACTATTCCTCTCAGCTCTCAGCCAATGAAAATGCTGGAAGAAGTCTTGACATTCTGCTGCTCTCCAATGCAAAGTACCTTCCCTGCTGTATCTAGGCAGAATAGACTGCACAAGGAAATAAAGGAGAGATGGAGAGATAAAGCCTGACAAGGAGATAAAGCGAGAGAAAAGAAGGGAGGTGGGAAGAACACAGGGGGAGTGGGAGAGTTGATGTTTTAGTTTGTGAAAGCAGGTGTCATAGTGGGCCGCAGTGGGCAGCAGGTAATCTCACTGAGATAAGCAGTAGTATGACAGCCAACCTTTAATTCCCCATGGGAGGTGGTACTGTGGAGTTGTCGAAGGGTCGGTCTCCCCATCGCCTGGAAATAGATTTATATAAAAGAGAAATGGGAAGAGAGGGATAGAGGATGCATTTTGATGGGGGGAAGGCTGAGGTGAGAGCAGAAGGAAGAATGAAACTGACAACAGAAAAAAAGAGTAGTGTTTTCATTTTGCATATTCTGCACACACATGAACCTGGTTACATACACAGATCACAGCAGCACCCCTGTGCCTGCTCTGTTCTGTATCAGTGATGAGGAGAGAAAACATCAGCATGGGGCTTCAGATTGAGGCAAAAGGAAGGGAACGAAGGTGAAAGGAGGAATAAAAAAGGAGGAGGAGGTATCTAAGATATTATTATACTTATCTGGGGGAGTGTTTAGTGGAGCAAGCATTATGAGAGTGTAAATGACATTCCCTCCTTCTCCCTCTGGGCTGCCAGCTGCTGGATGAATATAATCACCCAGAACACCATGCACCCAGACACTCACCACATCGTCAGTAGACACTAGCAGAATATTAGATGGAGTGCCGTATGTTTACTGTCCTAGAAGTCTCAAATCATGTATTGATCCTGCATCAGTTTTCCAGCCTCTTTCTTCAGAAATGATGTAAAATATTGACATATAACATTTGTCTCAATTGGGAGAGATCGATAATGATTCAGCCGGCCTTGTAAAACATCTAGCATCAAAGGGGGCAGCTTCTCAGGCGGGAAGATGGAGGAAGGAGAGCGTAGGTCTTTCCTAACTGGAATCCCAAAAACAAATAGTTACAAATAGTTATGTGCTTGACCTTTTTAGAACTTAAGCCTCTTTTCCTTGTGTATGTAATAAGACTGAAAGTTGCCTGCAGAGACTGAATGCTAAATCTGAAACTTTAAACTGAGTAGTGAGTCAACAGATCAGAAACTATTTTGATGAAACATTTAAGTCAGTTTTCAAACAGTGCCACTGTCAAACAAGGTCTAATTCCAGATTCCTGAAGGTGAGCATTTGCTGCTTTTCTTTGTATATTCTATGTATATATTTTTTGTTTTAGGCTTTTGTTCAAACCCACTATTTTCTGATATATTACAGACTAAATGGCTAATCAAAATATAACTGACAGATTAGTAGATAATGACAATAACTGTTAAAGTATAGAGTGAGTATAAAGTATTTATGCCATCACTGGAACAATGCAACATTCTCCATCTCTTTCTGTGTAGTAGCAGAAGCAGATACACAACTAATCCTCCTATCTATGCTTCTGAAGCAAATTTGTCTCTTGATGGGACCTTAAGAGTCTTAAGAGCAAAAGTCTTAGGTCGCAAAGGGGGAGAGAAAACACAACTGAACAGTCTTCTATACAGAGAACCCAGTGTCAGGCCCAGATGTCAGGGATGGTAGGTCAGCGCCTGCTAAATGTGAGGGCAGCAACTCCAGTCAAGGCTCATTATGTTTTTACATTAGGAAACAGTTAAGGGAAACATTATTGTAATTCAGTGCTTCCCATGTGGCTGTCCACCTTATCCTACTCTCATTTGTCTTTTGCCTTCCCTGCCTCTTCCTGCTTCCTCCTCCTCTCTTACCCCATCAGGGCCGCTGTTCCAGGGAGAACTGTAAGTACCTGCACCCTCCTCCCCACTTAAAGACCCAGCTGGAAATCAATGGAAGGAACAATCTCATCCAGCAGAAAAACATGGCCATGCTGGCCCAGCAGATGCAACTCGCCAATGCAATGATGCCCGGCACACAGCTACAACCAGTGGTGAGAGGACACACATGCATACGCAGAAATACACAACATGTCAAAAATCAGCTGCATGTATGCACATTTATATATTCAAAAAGAATTTCACACACACAGACACACACAAATGTTAATACTGTGCAGGATCTTGAGTTCTTTGAACACCTGTCTCTAACATCCCATTATTTTAGTGATTTTGCTACATTCTCAGATCAGAGCAATTACTTCTGCTCCCTCAGTGTCCAAATGCGGCTGAAGTGATGATCACAGCTAAGACAATAACATAATAACCTCAACAAACCAAAGACTTCTTAAAGTTGCAACAGCAGGCTTATTAAAAATCAGATCATGACCGAGATTATTTGGTGTAATTTCTTTTTCACAGTTGAAATATGAATGAATATTTCAAAAAAACAAACAAAAAACAAGACAAATAAATCTGCACACTGCAAAAAGGAACTGATGTTTAAGGTGCCAAAAAGCTAAAGCTGGATTTTTCATAGCACTGCATTTGACTATGACATATTGACGTGATTTTATTTTTTATTCAATGTAAAAATTATTTCCAGCACTCTCCAGCTCAGAAATGTTGCTGGAACTTTGTACTCTGGTTTAATGCTTAATTTGATTTATGAGAGAAATTGGCAGGATTTTATGTCAGCTTTAAATTAACTGAACATGTAAAAAAAATGTGTCATTCCTACTAATCATGAGTGCAAGCATATGACCGGCAGCTGATCACAGGACTGCTGATGGCTGTGACCTATTTCCTTTATTTCATATTAACTTTAGCCAAGATGAACAAATACTCTAGGTCCTCAAACTGTGCTTTAAGAACCAGGTTATCCCAGTGAGATTTAACAGGTTCCTTTAATTTAAGAATGAAATATTATTCCTGATCTTAAAAACAGCAGTTTGACACAGTCTTAACTTAGGCTCCACTTCGCAGCTTTTACCACAACAACCTTCCCTTTCATTGGAAAGACCATTGCACATTGAAAGAAAAAACATTTACAAGGCTAGTATTCACTCCAGAAAAAAGCTATAGCCTGGGTTAAATCAGCAATGTTTGAATGACTGGGTCCCTACTATTCATGAAGGAGTTGTTTTATACAGTGATCAGCAAATATTATTATCATAAAATCATGATCATACCCGCAAATCTATACATGCACACCCACACATTCATGCAGTAAATTACATCAGAAGTTGCTCTGTGACTGTGCTCCAAGGATCTTCAGGGTGATGGCCTGAGCCATCAGTTCAAATCAATAGCCCCTTTTCCACCGCCTGGTACCCGCTCAACCCGACTAGCCTTATTTGTGTTTTCATAAGTTAGATGTTGGCGATAGTACCTGGTACTAATTTTGGTATCACCTCCGTGGAGGTTCCAAGTGAGCAGAGGCAATACCATAGGGTGAAGTGTAAACACTGCTGACTAGCGATTGGTCAGAGAGATCACGTCATCAATGTGCGAGACATCCTAGAGCAAAGAAAGCGACATTTTTAAAAGCAGCATTATTTAATGCTAAACACTACTTTACTGTAGTTACTGTACTAACTAAAATAAGCCACATACTGAGAAACAAAAACAGCATACCTTCGATGTCCTCCATTGTTACTATGTCGGTTGCTGACAATGTTACGACAGTGTAATGCGGTGTCGCTATGACAACCAGCTACACTGAGAGGGGACCATCTACAGTGGAAAACCAGGCACCCAGTAACAAAAGCGAGTAGAGTTGAGTCGAGTTGAGGTGAGCTCATACCAGACGGTGGAAAAGGGACTAAACCTTCCCTGTGTGGTCCACAAGACCTAAAGAGTCAGTGAGACCTGTCAATCAGGCTTAAAGTAGTTCCTCAGTCTCCCCCTTTGTCCATATGTTTAAGTGGTGTGAATTGGTTTCAGACTATTCAAAAGCGCTTCAGATGCTTGGTCACACACATGCACGTGTAGCCGATGGCTTATCAGGCTTATCTGGGGGAGAGTGGCTGAGTGGAGAAGCCCATTGAGAGGAACAGAGGAAACCATGAAAGGGTTTAAAGAAGCAGTAGATCTCCCTCCAAAGCCTTCCTTTTCTCTTTATGTCATGGGGAGTGTAAAAGTAAAACTAGGCCCGTTCTAGAGGTTTTTATAATCTTAAGCAATTTTAAAAATTGAGAGACCACAGGCATAACTGTAGCTTTACAGATGTTTTCACATTTTAATCTCAAGCACACACACACTACATGATTCAGTCAAGAGGCAGGACCACACACTTGCAGTTTTTACTGAATGGTTTCAGAGATGCCAGGGATCTCGTGCAAACTCGCATGATCAAACATGACTTCAGAACAAAACAAGCGTGGAGGTGGACATTCATCATCAAGTAGCAGCACTTGTGTGTGCTATGTTTTGTGCAGAGAAATGAAGGGGGAGATAAACTGTGAATGAAGTCTTGCATTAAATCAACACGGCTTACACATTTTGCAGCATGAGCTGGAGGTGAGTTGGAAATAAAGAAACGAGGAGACTAGTGCACGCTAATGCTACAAGTGGTTGTGATACTTCCTGGCCAGCTCGCTGTCACTGGCTATGTCTGGTCAAGATTCAATTGCAGGACTCCCAAGTCCATCCATTATCTATACTGCTTGTTCCTGAATAGGGTAGCTGCAGCCAATCCTAGCTGACATGGGCAAGAGTAGGGTCCAGTCTATCGCAGGGCTGATATGTAGACAGACAACCACACACACAAGAAATTTAGAGTTGCCAGTCAGCCTAAGCTGCATGACTTTGGGAGGAAGCCAGAGTAAACTTGGGCAGGCACAGGGAGAACATGCAAGTCCCCAGGTTGTCCTGGGCTTGAACCAGGAACCTTCTTGCAGTGAGGCAACAGCACTAACCACCATACCCCTATGCCGGCCAAGTCATAAATATCAAACATGCTTGATACTTATGATTCAAGACCAGAGGGCGTTGTTCAACACCCACACCACAGCATCATTTGGCCCGAGAATCGCTTCCAAGCGCCCTCACATTGAGAAACACACCCACCATTGTTGGGAAGGACAAACCAGGCCCGAAATTGCGCTAATTATCCTGTAGTGTGGGGCCGGCTTAGGGAGAGGAGAGGGGGAGGAAGACAGGCTGACAGAGAAGGATACCACAGGAGAAGACAGGGAGGACCTGGCAAGGCAGTAAGAGATAAAGGGACAGAGCAGAGACAGGTAGGTAAAGTGAAGGAGATAGGATGACAGCAGTAAGGAGAGATGGCTTTAGACCTGCACTACAAATAAACGTCAAGAAAACAGACTCATGTAGTTTGCAAAGAGAACAAAACAGGACTTTCTTCCTCCATCCTGTTTATCCTGCCTGCATGAGTACATCCTCAGTGTCTCAACAACATTTTATCCACCACTCTCCCACTAATTTTGTCTATCGCCATCCCTTCTCCGTCCACGTACATGAGAGAGTGCTTTCATTTCATGCATGGAACTGTGCAGAGTGTGAAATAATTAGGATCCATTAAAGCTGGATGTGAGTGATGGAGCTTGTGATGCATTTTATTACAGAGTCAACGTCAGCAGACAGCCCACATTACAATTACATCTACAGTACTGAATCACTCACTCACTCAAGTTAGAAAAACACTGAGGAAATGTGGTGCACTTGTTTTGTGCAGACAGTTTTTGTTTTTTGTTTGTTTTCTTTTTTAAGAGGAATAAAACCACAAAAGCCACAAAGGAAGGTCACTGGTCTCTGATGTCTGTTAAGAGAAGTATCTCCATGTTCAAGGAGTGGGGTGAACAGACGGGGGATCTAGTGTTGAAAAGTGGTTTCACATATTAAATACCTGGGCATTCTGGATAACTGGTGGATCTAGCTATGAACATATCTCCTGAAGATTGGGAATCATGTTTGAGTAATATCAGTAGAATGTATATGTGGTAAGTTTATACAACTGAAGATCATACACAAATGGCACCTCAATAACTACATAAATGGAAACTAATACCAAGGGGATGTTTGCTGGTGATGTGACGAGTGTTGCCTCTATTCTGCATACACTTTGGACGTGTCCTGTGCTTATTGATTGGTGGAACAGAGTTCAAATTATATTTGAGGTTTTAAAAAAGGAATTCCACGTCTTTGCAAAGCTAGCCATATTAGGCTCAGCCACTTTGAAAAGAGGTGGGTTACTTTGGTTCTCACCACAGCTAAAGGGATAATACTGAGACACTGGAGGAAAAAGCGTCCGCCCCCTTATGAGTAACGGACTACAACAGTGGCACAGTTGGCTGCTAATGAGAGAGTGACATACTTTCCAGAAGGCAAACTTGGTCATTATATGTTTACATGGGGCCTTTATATTGTCTGACTGTCTCCAACTCAGAGGTCGGTTCTGTGATCTTTTATAGATTATGGAACACTATATTTCATCACGGGGTAGATTCCCATGTGTATGCATCGTTATATTTTTTTGACCATTGATGTTTTAAACATATACAAGTACAAATTCATTCATTTCATAAAAGTCATTCTTGTCATTTTGTTCAAAGTGTTAACTATTAAAAAAAGAAAGGGAAAAGAAAAGTAAAGTGGTTTCACCAACATAAACAAAAACCCACAGCATTCTCAGTGGAGTGGCAATCCGACAATTTTCATTCAATCTGAAGATTCTTCAAAATGGTTAAATTGAATGAATAAAAAGTATTAATCTACGTTACAGATTTCAGGAAAAAAACAAATGGGGAAATTAAACTTTAGCACACTTTCAGCTATTAAAATGTTCAGCTCTTGAAGGACATTCATGCTTCTCTTCAGAACTTTTCTAAACTTCATACTTTTGAAATATTTCGCTTTATTTTGAAAATCTTGCCCTATTCAAATGAATGGGGAAATTCAACTTCAGAATAATTTCAGCAATCAAAATGTTCAGCTCTTCAACGTCATTCCGGCTTGTATTTATTTCATCTCATCCTTCAGATTATTCAACAAAGAACTTCAGCCATTTCTTCTCAACTATTTTAACAAAGAA